TTAACATGGGAAAGTGTTATCTGTTGCAGGGAACGAAACATTCGAGAGATTCGCAACCATCGGGTTGTTATCGAATTTCATGGTGTATTTGACGAAGGAGTACAACATGGACCAGGTTTCGACCTCGAATGTGATCTACATCTGGTCCGGTGTGACAATCTTCGCACCGATCATCGGTGCTTTCATCTCCGACGCCTACGTCGGAAGGTTTTTGTTACAAAAGCAAATTATATATGCTACTGAGATTAGTCCACCACTGTAGATAAACTATTCTTCCATTAAATAAAATCTAATAAGTGAAGAGAGATCAACATCTTCTCGAATTTTTTCTTGGAAGGGAAAAGAGATTTGGTCTTAAATTTTTGTTACAAAAGCAAATTATATATGCTACTGAGATTAGTGGCGGATATAAAATTGTTCAACAAACCAACCTGATATAATTTTCTTCAACATCTTATCTTTGTCCTTCACCTACACCTCTTCCATTACTTCCGTTGACATGGTTACATGTTTATAATAAATTTTTATAATATTCGAATATGTATTAGTCGTTCAATGGATCGATATTAAATAATAAAAGCTTATGTTAAATTTTTACATTCACAGGGAATGCTGACCATAACTTTGACGGCATGGATCCCAGACCTCCAGCCTCCGAAATGCCAACCGGAGCAGAAATTACTCGGTCACTGCATTGGTCCAAGCATGGGTCAAATAGGAGTATTGATAACTGGGTTATGCTTGTTATCGATCGGCACCGGCGGTATAAGACCATGTAGCATTCCCTTCGGGATCGATCAATTCGATCCTACCACCGAAAAAGGGGTGAAAGGGATAAGCAGCTTCTTCAATTGGTATTACACCACATTCACAGTGGTCATATTGCTCACATTAACCCTTGTGGTTTATATACAAGACCAAGTTAGCTGGGTCCTTGGCCTCGGAATCCCTACCATCCTAATGGCGTCTTCGATTGTTTTGTTTCTCGTCGGAACAAGGATTTACGTGCACGTGAAGCGGCAAGGAAGCATATTCTCGAGCATTGCGGCAAGGAAGCATATTCTCGAGCATTGCGCAAGTGTTCGTCGCCGCTTACAAGAAACGACACCTTCAGCTCCCTGCAGAGGGACAGGAATATGGTGTTTACTATGATCCTCCTTTAAAGGATTACGTGTTGTCCAAGCTTCCCCTCACATACCAGTTCAGGTTTGTTGATTACATAGAATGCTGAATTGGATATGTTTAGTGCACTAAACATTTGTTGATGTTCGACTAGGTTCTTGAACAAAGCGGCGATAGTGACGGAGGAAGATATCGAACCTGATGGTTCGTTTAACCGATGGAGGTTGTGCAGTATTCAAGATGTTGAAGAGGTGAAATGCATGATCAAAATCATCCCTGTATGGGCTTCTGATATCATTAGCTTCACCGCTATGGGACAACAGGCGACATTCACCTTATCACAGGCTTTGAAAATGGACAGGCATCTAGGCTCCAAATTCCAAATCTCCGCTGGTTCGATGGCGGTCATATCGATGATCACGATCGGGATTTACCTCCCACTCTACGACCGTGTCATCGCTCCAGCTCTTCAAAAAATCACCAAGCGCGAAGGCGGGATAACACTGCTACAAAGAATCGGAATCGGCAACTTTTTCGCAATTCTTGCCATGATCGTCGCTGGAGTGTTCGAACAAAAGAGAAGGAACTCGGCCATATTGCACCCCGATGCCCCACCGATCTCGGTCTTTTGGCTACCTCCTCAGCTTGTTCTCATTGGCTTTTGTGAGGCATTCAACATTCTCGGACAGATCGAGTTCTTCAACAAACAGTTCCCCGAGCACATGAGAAGCATAGCCAATTCTCTTCTCTTTTGTTCCCTAGGCGGTTCGAGCTACCTAAGCAGCTTGGTAGTCAATATCGTTCATCATGTCACCGGTGGCCATGGCCGCCCTGACTGGTTGACGAACGATATCAACGCCGGCTGATTAGATTACTTTTACTATCTTATAGCAGTGATGGGGTTCTTCAACTTCATTTATTTCCTCTATTGTTGCACATCGGTATCGGTATAAGGTTCAAATGCAAATAGTGTCGAAATCTAAATCTGATATCGAACTAAACCCAATAAAAGCATGAAGTGATATGATGTTAATGTATACCTTAGCTACCAGAATATTGTAAAACATCTTTAATTATTTGCATTATCGTTTCCTTATGTAGACGATTTCGTTGCGACAGACGTATTTATTGTCTTTGAAAAACATGAGATACTAAGATATGAACATAAGAAATATTGTAATGATAAGATGTATTATATTTTGACCATAAAAATTTATATTTAATTTTAAAAATATTAATAAATTATAAATTAACTTTAAAAATAAATTATTTTTGATGAAATTTAATAAAGCTGATAATTTGTGGGAGGTGATGGAGCAAGTGTCAATTATGGCTTTGGAGCTTTCTGCCTTTCTCTTTCTAGCATGTATGATTTAATGGCTGACAAGATATGCCTATCTTTTTCTCTCTTCATTTTATGCTTTTTCCTTTATTATTTTTTTATTGCTGAACTCTAAAAAAATCTATAAATGGCACTTGGTAGAATTATAATATACCACATGATGTAAAATTTTTGAAATATTATTAATTTTTAACAGTTAAAATCATTTAAAAATTAGACGATTTAATTTTATAATTTGAGGGTTTAATAGATTTTAATTAGGTATAAAAAATCAAACACTTAATTAATTTTTTTCCAAAAATTTTAGGGCTTCATACATTTATTTGTTTGATTTTAGGGTAAGTTATACCAATTTTTATTGAACTTTATTATTTCTCATATTTGACTCACTGTACTTTTTTTTCTTCAATTTATTCACTGAATTTTCGAATTGCTCATGTATTTGCCACTATGAATTATTTTATTATTATTTTGGTATTATGTGGTATTTTTTATTATTAGTTAACATAAAAAATAATTTAAAATATAAAATAAAAACAAAAGGTGATTGTCCACTGTTCACCAGTGTTGTACACCATCGTCGTTGGTCATAGATACCAAGTGTCACATACATACCTTTCAACTCGGTTCTTAATCCGTACGACACTTGAAAAGGGACTCTTCCCAAACCAATTCAACATTAATCCTCGATGATATGTTCAACAAATAACCACTTGATCATTAGTAGTATAGCCACTGTAGAGTTTCTCAAGCCAAAGGTCAAGATTGTAGGGCATAACAGATGCACACAATAAACCCCAACCTTCCTGCTGGGAAAATAGTTTATTATTAAAAAGCATTGGATTACATTGCCCATACTCACCCCCACACCATCGATTAGGCCATAGGGGCAGCCCTCGTTGGTGTGTCTACACACATACATGTTCGGTCCCAGATTTCATTAGTCGCTTTGTCTCGACCCTCGGAGTCTGAATTCAACCTCTATTTTGTCGGAACATGTTTCAAATCCTATCAAAAGTGAGAAAACCAAAATGTCGATCGCCGTCAATCGCCGTAGATGATGGTTGTTCGGTCACAAATTTCATGGGTTGCTTGGCCTCGACCCCATGAGTATGAATTCGACCTCTATTTTGTTGGAATATGCTCTAAAGTCCACAAATTGGAGATCGAAAGTGAGGAAACCAAAATGTTTTCGTCGAGATTCACAGTTTTTTTGACATTTTTGGTGAAACAACCACCAAATTCGACTCAACATGTCAAAATGAGTCTCTTGGTACAATATGGGATCAAACGACTATCGATTCTGAAGGTCGACGTGACGAGAAGAGACGACGATCTTAATGGGGGGTTGGGATGGAGAAGATAAAGGGGTTATGGTTAAGAATATTATTTTATTATTTATTTTAAATTATTTTTATATTAAATAATAATAAAAATGTCACACTATATAATAACAATAATAGAATGATTCAGAGTGATCAAAACAGAAGTAATTCGAAAGTTCAGTGAGTAAATTGGAAAAATCAAAAGTATAATGAGTGAAATAGGAAGGAGAGTAAAATTCAGTGAGGATTGGTGTAGTTTATCCTTGATTCTAAAATAATTTGAGCAATTTTAAATTAAACTAGAGAGGATATTAGATATGAATGAATGTATAATAACATGTTTATATACCTTTCAAAATTGGGCAAAATTCCTAGGATAATGCGAATGAGGAAGTTTTTTTTCCCAGGATAATGTCGTTCCCACATTATTTCCCCATCTAGGGTGTTTTCTACAGTACAATGCTAAAGACTCCAGGAAATCTCGACGTCTTCAAGAAAAATAAAAGTCTCCGGGATCACTTGGCGTCTTTAGGTAAAAATGAAGACTTCGGGAACACGCGACGTCTTCAGCCAAGGCAGATGGCTTCGGGAATACACGACGTCTTCACGTCTGAACCTGTTGCATGCATGCATGGGACAGCTGCTGATTGCGTGGGAATTAGCGGGAGCAGGAGTGGGTGCATGGGAATCAGTAGGAATGGGTGGTGTCATTATTACACCAATAATGGAACACCAGGTTGGGTAGTTATAAAATGGGGGGTTTAGAATTTGGATGAGAGGTGGAAGGAGAAAATTGAGTGAGGCCGAGAGAAAGAAAAAAATTTGGGTAGTTTGGTAATCTTGAGAGTTCGATCAAAGGAAGAAAGAATTCCAGTGCTCTGGTAAGTGATTTGATAAATTTAGTGTAAATTTTATTGTTTATAATTTATTATTTATTTGAAATATAAATTAATTAGATTATTTATTTTGAATTTACATATTAAACTGTAATCTAGTGGCTTGGTAAGTTTAATTTAAATTTTCGTGTAATTTTTAATGTAATTTTTTCTGTTAACTTAAATTATAATTATTAGAATATTTATTTTAATTTTACATATTAAGTAGTATTTGAGTAAAACTTGGTATGTGTAGTTTAAATTGTAGACACCCATTTTGTCCTGATATAATAATAATTATTATTATATTATTAATATTATTTATTTTTATTTGTTGCAGACCCATATTCGTGTCAGTTCCAGCTCTTACATGAGGCCAGTACGCCCAAGTGACTTACGTCAAAGAGCACCTGCAAAGAACACCAATTCATTAGACAAATCCACCGAAAAGCTGAAGAAAATTTCCAAGTCAAAGATAAATCCCCAACCTAATCCTTACATGCTCCAATCACATTTCACCAAATAAAGCAATGAATAAAAAAAAGAAAAAAAACAAAAGGGATTAGGTGAAGGAAAAAACATTACATTTGGAAGGGCTCTCAGTTTTTAAAGGAGGGGGACGATTCGAACAAGGGGGGTTCTCAACGGCAAAAAAAAAAGAAAAAGAAAAAGAAAAGGGAACCATTCGAGCAAGACAGAGGAGGGAAATACCAAACAAGAAACAAGCTGTGTATACTTGTAAAAGTAGTGTATCCTCTGTTATTCAAAGAATAATATAAACACAAGGCTCTCTTTCTTTGTCAAGGAATCAAAGCAATATAAAGCAAATCCAAAATTAAATTCCAGTAAGATTTTCTTTCCATGATTATTTAATGTTGCATTTTTATATATTTGTTTTAATTGCTTTCAAAATAAATTAAAAAAAACTAAAAACAAAGGAAATAGAGTGAATCGTGTTTACTGTCGAAGTAGAGAAATCGACAATCGTTGGGGTTCCTTCGTCGGAGTTGTAACTTTTCCGGAGTCGAGTAAAATTGTCCTGAGTCGTTTGCATCCTTGTATATTTTTTCTTCGGATTAGTTATCATATTATGAGATTTCGAAAATAAAAAAAGAAATAGACAAGGTTTAAGTTCTTACCTTATTGTGGCGAACTCTGATTGCCAGATTGATTGTCCTCATAGTTGAGAGGCTAGGTGGTCGAGGCGTCGCCGTTTTGGTTGCAATCGGGGAAGAAGGAGAGATTGCAGCACTGTTGGAGAAGGAAAGGAGAAGAAAATGAAGTTAGGGATTATTTTAGCTTAAAAATTACATATATCAAATTATCAAAACGACTGTGTTTCAAAGGGGTTATGGTAATCCGATTTAGCGCCTGAGGGGGTTATTCTCTGTAAATCACGTTAGTTTCTGCCCTATTCCATTTTGGTCCTCTTCTAGGATGTTTGAACTCGTGTTTTTGGCTCCCTGTTTCCGCATTTTAAGTTTCTGTCCTTAGGTGATGTTATTTCAAATTTTCATTTATTTTTGCATCTGATGTGAAATTTTGTTAAGTTGTAATTTACTCCTATATGTAATTGTGGGTTTATTTCTTTGGTAGTCACGCATTTATTTGTCTTAGCTCATTTTAGTCCACAAATAGAGTATTTCATGCTTTTAATTGATCTTTGTTTTACGCTTATTTAATTTCAGTCCCAAATGTTATCTTATATAGTTTTTGTTATTTTAGACATTTTACCTCTAATGTTTGCATGTTTCGCTTTAGTCCTACGAATGTTTAGGGTTTATCTCTATGTTAATCATTCATTATGTTGATTTGTTTTTATTTTAGGTTCATGGTTTATTATAGTATTATATTAGTTTTTTCCCCTGATTATTATTTTATTCGTATTTAAGTTGGTAAGGTTTTATTTAACAGTGTTTCGTCCTCCTTTTAATAAGTGTGGTTATTTTCAAAAATTTATAGTTTAAGATTGTTATGTTTTCATTTTTTCTATTTAAGTCCCGGTTGTGAATTACATATTAATATGTATATAGTTTATAATGTATATTATTTCGGGTATTAATTGATTTAGAATAAAAGTCTTTGTCACATGTTGATATCATGATATGAGTATGATAAGTTTAATAATCTTAAAATATTAAAATGTACTAGTTCCCTTGTAAAATATATAATCATAGGTGCATGTATGTTTTCACCTCCGCATGGGATAGTGGATCGCTCTTGGAGCTCACGCCTTATGGTCCTCGTGATGGTAATCACCTTTGCATGGACATAAGGAAGTGTGTTCCCTCAAAGTTGAACTCGATCCCTAAAGCCTATGATGGGCCAAGATTAAGTGTTCGACAGCCCAAGGAGGCACCGACAAGGACAATTCGAAAACCTAATACTTTAGAACCGAACCTAGCATGTAGTGAACATAGAGCTTGAACTTAGATTAAGCCTAACCCGAACCTAAGGAGTCCCGTGGGGAGGGTACACAAGGAAAAGCTTTTTGAGTCATTTATTTTCGCTTTTTCGAATAAATGCATGCGAATTAGAAATCATGCGGTTAGGTTTATTTTCTCGAACAAGCATGCAAATTAGATATCACACGGTTAGGATTTTTTGTTAATAACAAAGCATGGGGGTAGATATCATGTTGGGTAAGATCTACTAAGCATGATTGGGTAGTCAGCATGTGAGGGTAGGTTTTATTTGTTACGATACTTATCATTTTGTTGTTTATATTATGTGTACTAACCCATTTTTTGGTTTTTGTCTATTTTATTTTGGATTTATTGCATTTGCATCTTCATGTCATTCAAAGGTATTAATTCGCAAGTGATTGACTAATAAGAAGGCTGGTCATAATGAGGCAAGAAATTCTTAACCATGTACTGAAATTGGGATATCTAGAGACATTCAAGTGATTCATGAAGAAGGACATCCGATGAATGAAGAAAATTGAACCTGATTGAAGAATGATTCATGAAGATGGACATCCAATGAATGAAGAAATCTGAAACTGATTAAAGATCGATCCATGAAGAAAGACATCCGATGAATGAAGTTTGAAGTTGATCGAAGACTTTTTTCGAAAGAGCAGAGGCCGAAGATGTTCCCTCAGGAGATAGATGCAGTAATACCAAGGACGAGAATACCTTTCACAAAGACATGAATACCACTTTGTATTGAAAGTGAAGATAGAGATCCCAAGATTCAATTTAGAGATGTCTGACGTCATCAAGGATGATAAAATACGCCGACAATTTTGGAGGTGTAACGTCAGATTCCACGAAGAGTGTGACTCAAGGAATGAAGAATCACAAGTTTATTTTGACTACATGGTGTAATGAAATCTTATTGTCTAAATGAAAGTTGTTCTATAGTGGTCACTGTTGGAATTAACACTTTTTGCATTTGCATTTGCATTCTTATAATGATTATTAGTTTATTCATTGTGCTATTGTTACTTTTGGGTCATTTTGATGTCTTATTTATACTAACTTGTTTTATGTTGTTTTTTTTCTCTTTGTCTGCATTGCATGATCATAACATAATCAAAAGGAGTTGATTTGTGAATGTTTATCATAGTAAAAGGTTTTCATGACGGACAAAGGGTTTCGTGATCAAGCAAGCCATAACACAGACGAGAAATGGCATCCTAAGAAAGCTTCGAGAATAGTGGAAAGATCTGCACCCGAAGATCGCATGGCTGAGGAATAGTAAAAGGAGATAAAAGAGTAGATGTACAGGATGATGGATAGAATAGATGTTTTATCCAAAAGAAGAGAGACTTCTACAACAGAGCTCGACAGAAGCAACTTTGAGGTGTCAAATATGTAAGAGACTACTTTAGAGTCTGCTGATTCTAGCCAGTACGAGAGACCACACAATCATTGCTCGTATCAACAAGCTATTTGAAAACGCCAAAGAAATAGTGGCAACTACAGAAATGCAGAAGGATGAAAAGAAGTCATGCAGCCAGAACTCAGTGGTATATGATAGTCTACTCCAAACATCGGGGGAAGTAAAACTTGAAACTGCAGTTCAACCCAAGCCAAAAGGTGGCTCTCATTTTGATACTATCCCAATATCATATAAGGAGTTGTATGATGCACTGTTAGAAGCCCGAGAAGTAGCTCCGCATTATGTGAAGCCTTTGCAGCCTCCGTATCCAAAATGGTATGATGTAAATATTCGTTGTGAATATCATGCCGGGGTTCAAGGATATTCCATTGAGAATTGCACTGCCTTCAAACATCGAGTCCAACATCTTTTGGATCATGAAGTTTTGGAGTTCGAAATGAAAGGTCGACTGGGTTTGGTGACTGATTATCTAATTAAGGTGGAGCCAAAAGTGTTAAAGGGTAAGGGTATCAGCGATGACATCCAAGAAAAAGATAGTTTGCCGAGATATGAAGCTCAAATTCATCATTTAAAGAGTGAAAATGATAGATTGAGTGGAGAGATGGAAGTCATGCGGGATAGTTTTCAAAGGATCAGCCAAGTCTTTGAGTTTTTCGGCATAGGAAATGTCCCAGAGGAGTGGATGACAGGGGTCACTAAATTGAAGAATGATGCTGAATAGTGGAGAAAGAATTGCAAGGTGCATGAAGGCTGAGCGGATAAGTTTTCTTATGATTTACAGATTGCAGAGAAAAGGCGTGATACAACTATCAATGATTTGGGTAGATATCAAGCCGAAAATCAGACGTTGAATTTGGCCATAACTAACATGGAAATCTCACATCAACGCCACAAGCGGGAGAATGAAGCTGAGCTAGAAGCCATTAGAGCCAAGAACAAGAAGTTGATGAAGATGGTGGATGACTGTAGTGATCTTATGCGAGAGTTTCATAACCAAAATGACTTTCTTACAAGGAAAAATCAACAGCAGTGTCTGCAGCTCCGAGAATCAATACTCAAGATAGAGAAAATTGACAATGTTATGAAAGAGGTTATGACCCAAGCAAGCGATGTGGCTCACAAATGGGTTGATTTGGCTGGCTTTGCAAGAGAATTGAAGCAGATTGACAACTCAACCCCTGAGCATGAGTGGAAGTTACTTTGGCTTTTGAAGGAGATAGAAAAGCTAGGGGTGAAAGCTGTCCATTATCTGTAAAAGTTGGTTTGATGTACCAAAACCTTTGTGTTCAATAAAAGTTGTTTTAAGATGGTCACTCTAAAATGACAACTTTTGTACTTGCATTTAGCATTTGCATTTGCATTTACATTGCATGTATTTATTTAAGCATTTTTACATGCATTAATTATGAAAACATTGAAGTAACTTATATGAGGTTATGTGACAGTAATAACAAGATCACTCATTCATATTGTTCCTCATCATCATGAACAAACAAATGGAAGCAATAGAGCAATCTAATGAGAAATCACAAGATCAGTTGCAAGAACAGTTGGTCGGGTTACAACTAGATACGAGGAATCAAGCATCGGGTTCCCTGTAAGACGTATCGAATCAAGTGACCTAGGTGTTGGCACCGCAGGTTACGGATAAAGAGAAAGTGGAGGATAAAGGAAATCAATCTCGTCAGACTGGTACATCAAGAGTGATAATTAACCCCGAAGCATCTAACTCAAACCAAGGGAAAAGCCTCGTCAATTTTGGGCAGTTTGAGAATGAATTCAAGTAGTTGAATGAAGCCGTTAAAAATATGAAGGTTGCCAATGCCACTCACAAGGAGTTAAAAGCCATAGAACTCAGTTTGGTCCCTGATTTGGCCATCCCACATGAATTTAGGGTGCCTAATTTTGAGAAATATGATGGCACCAGTTGCCCCCTAATTCATCTGAAAATGTTTTACAGAAAGATGGAAGGGTACTTAGATGATGATAATCTGCTGATTCATTTCTTCCATGATAGTTTTGCTGGCCCAGCTGTAGTTTGGTATAATCATTTGAATAGAGAGCATATCAAGACATGGGTCAACCTAGCTGATGCTTTTCTGGGGCAATATCGATATGTCAAAAGCTTAGGCCCAAAACGTCATAACCTTCAGAGGATAAAGATGAGAGCTACTGAGAGCTTTAAAGAATATGCCCTAAGATGGAGAGGAGTGGCAGCACAAGTTCAGCCTCATTTGCTAGAAGAAGAAATATCATGTATGTTTCATGATTCTCTCCCAGTTCCTTACTTTGAGTTAATGCTGGGAAATTCGATGAATGGCTTCAACGATCTTATGGTGGCTGGAGAATCAATTGAAGATGCAATTAACAAAGGAAACTTGAAAGTCACTTCCAAAAGCCCGAGAAATAAAGAGGAGAGAGTTGATGAGGTGAATGAATGTCACGTCCAGAGCTCTCACAGCCGTAAGAGAAAAGAGGCAGCTGGTTACTTGAGTCGTCCAAAGAAGTTCCCACGATTGAAAGATACTTTGAAGGTGTTCCAAATTCCTATCTCAGATTTGTACCCACATTTGATTAAATGTCAACACCTCAAATCGAAGCCAATAAAATTACCACCAAACCCTTCTGCCCACAACTACAATCCATATGCTGTTTGTGATTTCCACTTAGGGACATTGGGGCATGATACGGGGAATTGTAGGAAGTTGTTTAAAGAGATAGAGAAGCTGGTTGAAAATGGGACGTTGACACAAGAAATGGTGAAACAATGGATGACAAGCTAGAGTGGGGCATCAGAGTGCAACGTATAACACCCGATCGAGTCAAACGCCACTGCATCAGAAGAATAATGGGGGCATCCTAATTATGCAGAAACCATTTCGTTTATCATGAAACCTTTTGTCATTTGTAATATCTTATTTGAACATGTTTTTTTAAAACTTTCTCATTAGTTTTGCAATGATATTTAAATGAATTCATGTTACTTTAAGGATGTTGAGCATTGAATCAAATTTATGACTTGAAATTCTTTGAATATCAACTGAATTAAAAGCTCTTTAATGATTAGAGTTATAAATCTTTGACAAAATGACAAGGTTGAAACCTGATAAAACAAGGACCTTGACCTTATCCCCAGAAGATACAATCGAACACCGCACCTTTTTGCATGGACCGATATAACCTTCTCCTCTTATAAGGAAATGAGCAATAGGCTTGGTATTCAGGTATGCATAGGAGAAGACAACATGGGGCATCTTTTGTGTATGACATCACAAAACTGTCTAGACCATACTTTTGTTGATGAAAGTTCAATGATGATTATGATCGTTACAGATAGAATAGTCGAGTAGGTGAATCAAGTTTAGGTCAGTTGCTTGGAAATTGAACTTTAACGATGAGATTTTCTGACTTTCAACAACACCTATACTATGACAGGTTATTCTTGACAAGCTTAAGAAATAAAATCTGCATACCCAACAATATATATATATATATATATATATATATGGGTATACAATAAAGCTGAGCTATTCCGCTAAGGTAATTGGTTATAGAGGAAACTTGAAAGCCCTGGCTTTATGAATAGATTATATTCAAACCATGACCCTGATCGGATACTTGGCAATTCGGTGTATGCTCCACTGTGATTGTCAAGTCAAAGACTTTGTGATGAGATGAACCCTTCAGCTAGCCCGATAAAGACAAATTACAATAAAGCTAATTTTAGCTAGCCAAAAAATGACAAATTAAATCAAGTTTATCTAAATAAGGAGTTGCGGTAAAGATGGACTAAGGGAGTTGAAGAACACCTGTTATAGTCAATTTCACACGAGCACTCATGAATTTTGTTTTTAGATCGATATTTTTGCACTGCCTTGGTTAGAGGAGTCTACGAAGCTTGAACAAATGCAAGATTTCAGAGAACTGAAATGGAAGTGTTCTAGAAAGTCTAGTAATGAATTATGCTAGTTGCGTCATTTTGTTCTCATCCGATTAAAATACCAAGCCAAGAAAGAAGGGCATGTTGCGATATTCCCAATGATAAAAAAGAAATGACATTCTGGTGTTCAAAACCTTAGAAAATAGGAAGCCAACCGAAAGCCAACCTCTCAATTTTGACACTTGTCAAAGATCTATAACCCTGAAAACATTAAATAGCTATTGATTCTTTTGATATTCTGTGAACTCATGTTTATAATTCGATTCGATTGTGATCCTGAATTAAGGGGCAATGTTTTATAAATTTCTTTCATTCTTTTTTCACTAAAATAAGAGAAAGGGGGAAAACATTTTCAAACATAACAGTGTCAGATGTGAAAGGTTGTTTAAGTCGGGGAGGCTCATTATGCCTCTATTGGAGAAAGAAATAAGCGGTGCCAGAACATGAAGCATTCCGTGATTGTGAAGCAGATGGTCTAAGAAATTAGAATGGATGAAATACACTTTCTTGGGATGCCATCGGTAACCCATAGAGAAATAGATGCTTGCCATATTTGAAAGGGGCACATATCTCAGCCCGAATGAAAATGCAAGACATTGTGTTAGAAGGGTTGATCACTTCTTAAGTAGCATGAAGGAAAGCCCTCAAACTATTTGACAACACTACTGTGTAGTGACACTAGAATGAGAACATTCAAGTTACGATATGTTGTGGCACGGTTGAGCCTACATCATGTTGAAATAACAAGATTCAGACCAAGGAGGCATGAAGAATTAACCTTACAATTTGAGGTGATGGGGTATTTTGAAGGCCCGTACCAGTATGAGACACTGATGGGGCATGACTAGACCCACATCAGGTTGAGATGACAAGATTTAGATCAAGAAGGCATTGAAAGTGAGCCTTAGAATATGAGATGTTTTTGAAGGCCCGTACCAGTATGAGATAATATTGCGGTACTAGTGAAGGCATGTTTCAACTAAAGATATTAATGTGGGGCATATGTGGAAGCCTATGAAGACTTGTGGAATGATTATTGAATTGGACAAATAGTTCCAATGGGATAAAAATGTATGAAGAGTGAAAATGGTGAAGCAGTGACAGTGGAGGTTACTGTATATGATCATTTGGTCCATCATCAGTTGCTTTACTCTTGTGGTTTCATATGCATTAATGTGGGTGAGCCGGTATCCCACTTTAATTTCCACTTAGTTTTGATATCCTTGTAATACCATGCTAAAACTCTGAGTTCCACGCAAAGAGTTTCTCCAGTTGAGATATGGGCAGAAGTCATAGAAAAAAAATGAATGTGTTGTCAAATATTTACGAACCACTAAATAAGGTGTTGAATCAATGTTGCATTACCCAAGATGAAGATTGCCTTCTACAACCCCAAGGTTAAAAAATGAGGATATAAGACGAAGACGACAAGAAGAGAGAAGAAGATCAAATGACTCTTAAAAAATGCAAGTTGGAAACTATGAGTTGCTACACGGGTATATAAAGCTGGCCCTTGAAAGAATGATCAAGTAGAAGAAGATCGAGCTCACCACTCTGGAGTCAAGTGAGTATATTTCAACATTTATGCATTCATGAAAACATCATTTGCATAAAAGAAAATACATTACACTGATACATTTAATTGCATTAGTGTTTTATGCATAAACACACGATTTTGACAGATCTTTCTGTGAAAAGAGAAGATTCATGATGTCAAAAGCCCAACAAGTTGAAAGGAAGATTTCAAACCTCAAACGCAAGAAGTCGTATTTCGAGAGACATACCCTGAAGAATTGAGAGGTCTAATCCACAGAAGAAGCATTACTCTGAAATGATGACCATCAGATGTAAAAGAAAAACAAAGATTTTTGTGTATGAAGAAGTGAATCGATCGATTGGAAGGACTTGCACATATGAGATTGGGGCAAGTCAATCTTAAGCCTTCACCAAAGAGTAGTGAAGCAAATCAATCTTAAGCCTTCACTGAAGAGTAGTGAAGCAAATCCATCAGTAAGCCTTCCGAGCATGATGATTAAGTCCTCCAGGCCATCTTAAGCCTTCACCAAAGAGTAGGGAAGCAAATCAATCTTAAGCCTTCACTGAAGAGTAGTGAAGCAAATTTATCAGTAAGCCTTCCGAGCATGATGATTAAGTCCTCTGGGCCATCTTAAGCCTTCACTGAAGAGTAGTGAAGCAAATCAATCTTAAGCCTTCACTGAAGAGTAATGAAGCAAATTTATCAGTAAACCTTCTGAGCATGATGATTAAGTCCTCCGGGCCATCTTAAGCCTTCACTGAAGAGTAGTGAAGCAAATCAATTTTAAGCCTTCACTGAAGAATAGTGAAGCAAATTTATCAATAAGCCTTCCGAGCATGATGATTAAGTCCTCCGAGCCATTTTAAGCCTTCACCGAAGAGTAGTGAAGCAAATCCATTTTAAGCCTTCACCGAAGAGTAGTGGAGCAAATCTATCTTAAGCCTTCACCGAAGAGTAGTGAAGCAAATTGAACTCGAGTCCGACTTCCCCAGCAGAACGGGTGGAGAGGATCCCATATCAAAATTTTAAAGCATAGAGATGGAACTGGACGAAAACACATTATATTTTTTATCTTTGTCCTATTCTTGTTAACACAAGAATGAGCAAAGAGAGGCAGTTTTAGACACCCATTTTGTCCGGATATAATTATTATTATTATATTATTAATATTATTTATTTTTATTTGTTGCAGACCCATACTCGTGTCAGTTCCAGCTCTTACATGAGGCCAGTACGCCCAAGTGACTTACGTCAAAGAGCACCCGCAAAGAACACCAATTCATTAGACAAATCCACCGAAAAGCTGAAGAAAATTTCCAAGTCAAAGATAAATCCCCAACCTAATCCTTACATGCTCCAATCACATTTCACCAAATAAAGCAATGAATAAAAAAAAGAAAAAAACAAAAGGGATTAGGTGAAGGAAAAAACATTACATTTGGAAGGGCTCTCAGTTTTTAAAGGAGGGGGACGATTCGAACAAGGGGGGTTCTCAACGGCAAAAAAAAAAAAAGAAAAAGAAAAAGAAAAGGGAACCATTCGAGCAAGACAGAGGAGGGAAATACCAAACAAGAAACAAGCTGTGTATACTTGTAAAAGTAGTGTATCCTCTGTTATTCAAAGAATAATATAAACACAAGGCTCTCTTTCTTTGTCAAGGAATCAAAGCAATATAAAGCAAATCCAAAATTAAATTCCAGTAAGATTTTCTTTCCATGATTATTTAATGTTGCATTTTTATATATTTGTTTTAATTGCTTTCAAAATAAATTAAAAAAACTAAAAACAAAGGAAATAGAGTGAATCGTGTTTACTGTCGAAGTAGAGAAATCGACAATCGTTGGGGTTCCTTCGTCGGAGTTGTAACTTTTCCGGAGTCGAGTAAAATTGTCCTGAGTCGTTTGCATCCTTGTATATTTTTTCTTCGGATTAGTTATCATATTATGAGATTTCGAAAATAAAAAAAGAAATAGACAAGGTTTAAGTTCTTACCTTATTGTGGCGAACTCTGATTGCCAGATTGATTGTCCTCATAGTTGAGAGGCTAGGTGGTCGAGGCGTCGCCGTTTTGGTTGCAATCGGGGAAGAAGGAGAGATTGCAGCACTGTTGGAGAAGGAAAGGAGAAGAAAATGAAGTTAGGGATTATTTTTAGCTTAAAAAATTACATATATCAAATTATCAAAACGACTGTGTTTCAAAGGGGTTATGGTAATCCGATTTAGCGCCTGAGGGGGTTATTCTCTGTAAATCACGTTAGTTTCTGCCCTATTCCATTTTGGTCCTCTTCTAGGATGTTTGAACTCGTGTTTTTGGCTCCCTGTTTCCGCATTTTAAGTTTCTGTCCTTAGGTGATGTTATTTCAAATTTTCATTTATTTTTGCATCTGATGTGAAATTTTGTTAAGTTGTAATTTACTCCTATATGTAATTGTGGGTTTATTTCTTTGGTAGTCACGCATTTATTTGTCTTAGCTCATTTTAGTCCACAAATAGAGTATTTCATGCTTTTTAATTTGATCTTTGTTTTACGCTTATTTAATTTCAGTCCCAAATGTTATCTTATATAGTTTTTGTTATTTTAGACATTTTACCTCTAATGTTTGCATGTTTCGCTTTAGTCCTACGAATGTTTAGGGTTTATCTCTATGTTAATCATTCATTATGTTGATTTGTTTTTATTTTAGGTTCATGGTTTATTATAGTATTATATTAGTTTTTTCCCCTGATTATTATTTTATTCGTATTTAAGTTGGTAAGGTTTTATTTAACAGTGTTTCGTCCTCCTTTTAATAAGTGTGGTTATTTTCAAAAATTTATAGTTTAAGATTGTTATGTTTTCATTTTTTCTATTTAAGTCCCGGTTGTGAATTACATATTAATATGTATATAGTTTATAATGTATATTATTTCGGGTATTAATTGATTTAGAATAAAAGTCTTTGTCACATGTTGATATCATGATATGAGTATGATAAGTTTAATAATCTTAAAATATTAAAATGTACTAGTTCCCTTGTAAAATATATAATCATAGGTGCATGTACGTTTTTTCGAATATGGAGCATTATTTAATTAGTTTTTGCATGTTATCCTCATGTGCATAACTCAACATTATTATATTGGATTAAGGGGGTAATACATTTTATTTTAAAATTATTTTAAGTGGGTTATCGTAACTTATTAGATATCTGCTTCTAATGATTTTAAAATAAAAGTGTATTCCATCAGTGACACCAAAAAAATTGATTTATCATTTTAAAATTTGGGAATGGAAGAAAAAGAAATGTTCGGCTATTTAAATTTATCGAGAAAAGCTTGTTATAACTATTTAAGATATGGTCTCGATATTTGTAAATAATCAAATATTATTTATCTTTCTAAAGGTTTTAGCTCAATCAATTTTGATGCTTTTGAATATGGTGAAATTTGTATGTTGTTATTTTGTTGGAGATCATAAATCAAATTAAAATCGAACTTGTAAATTTCATTGCAAAGACTTTTAATCGACTAGGTACCGATTTAGGGCGCTGTGGGGTGCTAATCCTTCCCCACGCGTAATCGACTCCCGAACTCATTTTCTGGTAACGCAAACTAAAAATTGTCTTTTTAATTAAAATAATTTTTTTATTTAAAATGATAACATTTTTTGGTGCCCAATCACACCCTAATCAAAGATTGGTGGCGACTCCTCGAACCGTATTTATTTTAAAAAAGAATCACAAATTTTTCGAAACGAGAGGTTTTCTAAATCACATTCACTTTTTAATTAAAAATTAACCAAAAAAGAGAATAATTAAAAATGACGTGGTTTTCTAAATCTCGTTCCCCTCCTTAAAATCGTTTCGAAAGCTTGACGACTCTGTTGGGGACCTTTTTAGAGAGTCAGGCCTATAGTCGGTTAATTGATTTTCTTTGCAATTGAAAGTTATAAATTCACTCTAATTTGGTTTTTGATCCCCTGTTTAGTTTTAATATTGCTTGTTCAGAATTTGATTAACTAATAAATAGTTGTACTGATCTGTTTGTTAATAGTTTCAGATTATGTGTTTAAAGAGGATTGATCTTTTGAGTGTTTTGTGAATATGTGTTGTTTTATTTTCGTTTTTTCTCACACTGCACAATTGTATTTGCATGACATGAGTTAAAACCCCGCTTTGTCCTATTTAAGTAGGAGTGAGAGACTACTCCCTCATGTAGTTTTCACCTCCGCATGGGATAGTGGATCGCTCTTGGAGCTCACGCCTTATGGTCCTCGTGATGGTAATCACCTTTGCATGGACATAAGGAAGTGTGTTCCCTCAAAGTTGAACTCGATCCCTAAAGCCTATGATGGGCCAAGATTAAGTGTTCGACAGCCCAAGGAGGCACCGACAAGGACAATTCGAAAACCTAATACTTTAGAACCGAACCTAGCATGTAGTGAACATAGAGCTTGAACTTAGATTAAGCCTAACCCGAACCTAAGGAGTCCCGTGGGAGGGTACACAAGGAAAAGCTTTTTGAGTCATTTATTTTCGCTTTTTCGAATAAATGCATGCGAATTAGAAATCATGCGGTTAGGTTTATTTTCTCGAACAAGCATGCAAATTAGATATCACACGGTTAGGATTTTTTGTTAATAACAAAGCATGGGGGTAGATATCATGTTGGGTAAGATCTACTAAGCATGATTGGGTAGTCAGCATGTGAGGGTAGGTTTTATTTGTTACGATACTTATCATTTTGTTGTTTATATTATGTGTACTAACCCATTTTTTGGTTTTTGTCTATTTTATTTTGGATTTATTGCATTTGCATCTTCATGTCATTCAAAGGTATTAATTCGCAAGTGATTGACTAATAAGAAGGCTGGTCATAATGAGGCAAGAAATTCTTAACCATGTACTGAAATTGGGATATCTAGAGACATTCAAGTGATTCATGAAGAAGGACATCCGATGAATGAAGAAAATTGAACCTGATTGAAGAATGATTCATGAAGATGGACATCCAATGAATGAAGAAATCTGAAACTGATTAAAGATCGATCCATGAAGAAAGACATCCGATGAATGAAGTTTGAAGTTGATCGAAGACTTTTTTCGAAAGAGCAGAGGCCGAAGATGTTCCCTCAGGAGATAGATGCAGTAATACCAAGGACGAGAATACCTTTCACAAAGACATGAATACCACTTTGTATTGAAAGTGAAGATAGAGATCCCAAGATTCAATTTAGAGATGTCTGACGTCATCAAGGATGATAAAATACGCCGACAATTTTGGAGGTGTAACGTCAGATTCCACGAAGAGTGTGACTCAAGGAATGAAGAATCACAAGTTTATTTTGACTACATGGTGTAATGAAATCTTATTGTCTAAATGAAAGTTGTTCTATAGTGGTCAATGTTGGAATTAACACTTTTTGCATTTGCATTTGCATTCTTATAATGATTATTAGTTTATTCATTGTGCTATTGTTACTTTTGGGTCATTTTGATGTCTTATTTATACTAACTTGTTTTATGTTGTTTTTTTTCTCTTTGTCTGCATTGCATGATCATAACATAATCAAAAGGAGTTGATTTGTGAATGTTTATCATAGTAAAAGGTTTTCATGACGGACAAAGGGTTTCGTGATCAAGCAAGCCATAACACAGACGAGAAATGGCATCCTAAGAAAGCTTCGAGAATAGTGGAAAGATCTGCACCCGAAGATCGCATGGCTGAGGAATAGTAAAAGGAGATAAAAGAGTAGATGTACAGGATGATGGATAGAATAGATGTTTTATCCAAAAGAAGAGAGACTTCTACAACAGAGCTCGACAGAAGCAACTTTGAGGTGTCAAATATGTAAGAGACTACTTTAGAGTCTGCTGATTCTAGCCAGTACGAGAGACCACACAATCATTGCTCGTATCAACAAGCTATTTGAAAACGCCAAAGAAATAGTGGCAACTACAGAAATGCAGAAGGATGAAAAGAAGTCATGCAGCCAGAACTCAGTGGTATATGATAGTCTACTCCAAACATCGGGGGAAGTAAAACTTGAAACTGCAGTTCAACCCAAGCCAAAAGGTGGCTCTCATTTTGATACTATCCCAATATCATATAAGGAGTTGTATGATGCACTGTTAGAAGCCCGAGAAGTAGCTCCGCATTATGTGAAGCCTTTGCAGCCTCCGTATCCAAAATGGTATGATGTAAATATTCGTTGTGAATATCATGCCGGGGTTCAAGGATATTCCATTGAGAATTGCACTGCCTTCAAACATCGAGTCCAACATCTTTTGGATCATGAAGTTTTGGAGTTCGAAATGAAAGGTCGACTGGGTTTGGTGACTGATTATCTAATTAAGGTGGAGCCAAAAGTGTTAAAGGGTAAGGGTATCAGCGATGACATCCAAGAAAAAGATAGTTTGCCGAGATATGAAGCTCAAATTCATCATTTAAAGAGTGAAAATGATAGATTGAGTGGAGAGATGGAAGTCATGCGGGATAGTTTTCAAAGGATCAGCCAAGTCTTTGAGTTTTTCGGCATAGGAAATGTCCCAGAGGAGTGGATGACAGGGGTCACTAAATTGAAGAATGATGCTGAATAGTGGAGAAAGAATTGCAAGGTGCATGAAGGCTGAGCGGATAAGTTTTCTTATGATTTACAGATTGCAGAGAAAAGGCGTGATACAACTATCAATGATTTGGGTAGATATCAAGCCGAAAATCAGACGTTGAATTTGGCCATAACTAACATGGAAATCTCACATCAACGCCACAAGCGGGAGAATGAAGCTGAGCTAGAAGCCATTAGAGCCAAGAACAAGAAGTTGATGAAGATGGTGGATGACTGTAGTGATCTTATGCGAGAGTTTCATAACCAAAATGACTTTCTTACAAGGAAAAATCAACAGCAGTGTCTGCAGCTCCGAGAATCAATACTCAAGATAGAGAAAATTGACAATGTTATGAAAGAGGTTATGACCCAAGCAAGCGATGTGGCTCATAAATGGGTTGATTTGGCTGGCTTTGCAAGAGAATTGAAGCAGATTGACAACTCAACCCCTGAGCATGAGTGGAAGTTACTTTGGCTTTTGAAGGAGATAGAAAAGCTAGGGGTGAAAGCTGTCCATTATCTGTAAAAGTTGGTTTGATGTACCAAAACCTTTGTGTTCAATAAAAGTTGTTTTAAGATGGTCACTCTAAAATGACAACTTTTGTACTTGCATTTAGCATTTGCATTTGCATTTACATTGCATGTATTTATTTAAGCATTTTTACATGCATTAATTATGAAAACATTGAAGTAACTTATATGAGGTTATGTGACAGTAATAACAAGATCACTCATTCATATTGTTCCTCATCATCATGAACAAACAAATGGAAGCAATAGAGCAATCTAATGAGAAATCACAAGATCAGTTGCAAGAACAGTTGGTCGGGTTACAACTAGATACGAGGAATCAAGCATCGGGTTCCCTGTAAGACGTATCGAATCAAGTGACCTAGGTGTTGGCACCGCAGGTTACGGATAAAGAG